CTCCCTCTCTTCCTCTCTCTTTTTTATATTTAGAGAAAGATTCTTTTTGCTTCAACACAGATTTTGACTTGTTGTTGACCTTAGGAATGGCTTTGGGTTCTCAGGTCATCATGGCCATTTAACCCTTAAACTCAGGGAAGCTGAATGATACACTACAGTTAGGGCTGTAACAGAAGTATGACTACCATGGCTAACCCAAAGCTTTGTATTTCTCAATGAGAAATTTGAAGCTGGTCAGTTCCAAGTTGGTCCCCTGTCCTCAGGATGTGACTTTTGTCCTCATGGCTTTGACACAGCTACTCCCTCTTTAGGTCTCTTGTTATTTTCCAGAATGAAAGAGGGGGAAAGGTTATGGGTGAGAGATACGTTATGCTCCTCAATCACTCTCCCTCTCCTTCTCTCTCTCTCCCGGTTCTCAAATTTTGAAAAGCAGAGACTTTGCCAAATCTGCAACAAGTATGTTTCTGGTGATTCTCAGGAGACAGACTTGGGCCATGTGACCTACACCTACACGACATTGTTAAGTGAGCAGATTGCAGTCCCAGGAGAAATAATCAGGGTTCAGTCAGCAGGAGGAAGCAGAGAACAGCAATTGCATAGGCAATCAGTGAAGGCTGCCATAGATAGCATCCAAGTTTTACTCCATCTTAGATATTCCACAGATTGCACTTTGAAGCCTATCATTTCCCAGTGAGGTGGTACACTGAGCCCTAATGCATACAGTGTTTAGTCCTGATGTGGATGATTAAGTTCATCCCATTAGCATTCTTGCACCAGCCTCTCACAGAGCACAGGGTGGGCTGCAGCGAAGGAAGCAGCCGTTCTCTGCCTCTGCTTTCTGTTTTCTCATTCCTGAAAGAGAGAGGCAAGGCGAAGGCAGCTGTACCACTAACGAGGAGAAGCCTGTTGGTGCCGAGAAAACTACTTCAGACTGATACACTTGCCTCCTCCTCAAAAGTTTGGCCAAGAGGGAGTAGGGGATTTTTGCAAAGCAGCCTTTATTTCTTATTTTCTGCAGTGGACATCTTTAGTTTGACCTCTGTCTGTGAGTTCTTCTTCTAATAACATCCTCCAAGGTATCATTTTGGGACAGCGTGATGTGTCTGCGCCCCTCAGTGGATGCAGGCCTGGTGGAAACATCGCACGACCAGCCAAGGAAGGCCAGTGAAATGGTGTCTTCTTGGGATCAGGTCTTCAGCACCATGTTTCAGGAATACAGCACCCTGAAGGGAATGCTGGAGGCCATACAGTGTGCCCTGGCTTCTAGCAGGGCTTAGCTCTGTGCTTCTAGAGCCTGGCTGCTTAGCAATTGCTTGTTCTTTGGATAAACACCTCCCTGAAGAGGGCAGTCACGAGGAGTGCCCCTGTTTTGCAATCCCCGAAACATGGCACATGTCTTTCCATTGCATCCGTTCATTCTACAGGTATTTGCAAGTTGCAAAGAGTCTATAAGGTGTCAGGATTGGTGCTCTGGCCAGCATGCTTATCTAGTTTCTGCTTTGAATCCACTAAACAACCTTGTACAAACACTATCTCCTTCCTTGGACCTCAGTTCTTTCATTTTTAAACTTGAAGATTAGAGCCGCTCCTCAGCTTCCAGCCATTCTCAACACTTCAGGGCTGCCCCCAAGAAAACCATCAGGTCTCTACACAGGAGTTTGGAGTGGCCCATAAAATTGGCTCTGGACTTCCAGCTCACTTCAATTAGAGCAGCTCCACTTTCATCCAATTTACTTATCAAGAGTGCTTTTTTTATTGGCCCTCAGCTAAAAATAAATATTTAAAAAATGCTGGACAATGTGGTTTCTAACAGGCCCTTCCAGATCTGAGGTTCTGTGAGTCTAAGCAGGTGTACTATTTAGTAACGTCTTTTCATTCATCAGCATAATTGGGAGTGCAGGAATGGCTGCCAAAGTATAATCTATATCTAAATAAAATCTTCTGTGTGCAAAACAGTGCAATGAAGGACATTCAGAAAAGAGCAGGCTGTGTGGACTGACTGGAGACAAACAAAGCACAGCTCCCTGCTTAGCAATTCTGGCAAAGCCTGGGCCGGGGAGCTGGAAAGGAGCCTACCCCCACCTTGGCTGCTCTCTACTTCTGCGAAGCAAAACATGCAAGCAAATGGAATATGGACCCATGCATTGGTTAGGCACATGCAATGTTTTGAAAACTTTCAATTACTTATCATTAATATTCATAAATTAGAAAATGTATTCAAAGACCAAGTTTCCTCACATCTTTTGAAAAACTGGGAGGTGCGACAAAGACAGGCTTGATTTTCAGCAGGACAGCAATCAGCTCAAGAGTGACACAACTGTCCCTTTGCATTGGCACATGTCTACTTCCCTTTGCTGCGGTCCCCTGTTTTTTTCCCATATGAAAATCCACACTTACACTTTGCCTTTTTTATTTCAAAGCAAGAATAAATGAAACACACACTCCATATACCTCTGTACCTATCCAAAGTGGGAAGAAACAAAATGATAGACTGAGAAAGATGTTTTTCTAGAAAAACAGGGCAGAGATGGTAGCCCCTTCCACAGGGGCAGTTACCAATATCAGGTGATTTGTTTTTGGTCATCACAATGAGGGATAAATTTGCAAGCATCTTAGAGGGCAGAAGCCAGGGAGATCACTCAGTACCTTACAACGCACAAGATATCCCCAGGACAAAGTATCCCCCAATACGCTGACAGAACCTTCGTTATGGACTTCCTGTGGGTTTGGCCTATTATGCTCCCTGAACTTGTTTACGTTACATATGTGAGCTCTGCTCTTTGGTCCTTAGTGATAGAGGCCCAGCTTCAATGATGACAGAACAGCAAGATTAAGTTTTATTGCGATTAACGTAGGGTGAGAATAAGGAGAACTCTAATGTGGGTGTGGTGGCCTCCACGCTTCCTCTGCCCATTTTACCCCTATTACCTGCATAAACAATTCATAAAAAGGTGCTATTTTTCCTTGTTTGAGGCTTCATAGCTTATAAATGGTGGGACAAGGCCTCAGATGAAGATGGAGCAATATGTTTGGAGCCCAAGTCCTCCGCTCTACCCAACTCATAACCTCCCTGTCCCCCACTGTGTGCTCTTAGCTGCATTATTTTTTTTCCATAATTTTATTGAGAAACAAATAGCAATGAGACAGTTTCAAATCTGATTAGTAGGACAGGTTCAATAATTAATACATTGCATATTATTGTCTTAGTGGTTATTCATTGTTTTGTTTAGTTTTGTCATTTAAATATTATAGGTGTGTGAATTCAACAAAATATTCCAAAATAGTCCAGTAGTCCATAATAGTAGTGGGTTTTCTGTAAGACTGGCAATGTCAGAAGTTGTTCACTTGAGCCTTTTACAGCTCAGCATATTAATATGGCTTTACTTTTTATACTTTGTGTTTATACTTTTCTGGTAGATGGTTAAGACCAAGATAAAGCAAGACCTATATAACAAGAAATGTAGCTTTTGTATCTGACAAGGTCAGGTAAGTCCCCTCAGGACTTATCCTGAAACCCTGTACTGCACTTTGTAGATCTTTTGTCAGTGTCAGCCATGTAGATGAGTCATGGACATTGCTTGGCCAATTTGCTCTCTGTGAAAGCCTGACAGAATGTTTTCCCTCCATGTGACTCTCCTTAGGCACACTCTACATCATCGATCACTTTCCTCTGTGGCCCCATAATCTCCTTGATCAGAAAATTTGGGACACCACTGAGTTACTTGATGCTATAGTACAGGTTCTCCTAAATCCTGAGTCTTCACTGGCTTAGCTGCATTATGATGTTGCCAACAACTACAGAACATAGAGTGATAACCTATTTTCTGTGCTCCCCTGTCCCTCCAGGGGATAGGCCTTGCTGAAGGGGGCAAGAAACTGCTGTTCAGAAAATCTGGCAAGGACTGACAGACACTGAGAGACTGCGAGAAACAGGGTACAAAGTCAAGAGTGGTAATGAAGGTTAAAGAGATAGTGCAGGTCCTATAAATGCCTCCCCTAAACAGCCGGCACAGCTAAGGCCCAGAAAAAGCAATTGGGTGTGGAGAGTCAAGAAGGAAGTCTGAAAATCAGAGTGGAAATCTTCATTCTTATTGTTGTTCAACAGTCCACTCATCTGTCATCCATCCATCCGTCCATCCATCCATCCATCCATCCATCTACTCATCTACCCATACACTCATCTATCTATCCACTCAACCAACCATCTCCATGTACAGCATATATTTATGGAGCAGGTTTCAGGCTACAGGCAAAGTGGATGACTCCTGCCCTTGTAGAATGAAAATCATGCTCTGAGATTTTTGGCAATTTGATCTCAGATAAATTATTCTGAGTTTCCTGATCAATAAAAGGAGGGGGAAGGTATCCATCCTGCAGGAAGTGATGTGAAATTTAAATAAGATCTCTTGGCACAGGACTTATCCCACTTTCCACTAAACGTCTCCCTGGTTCCATCCATTCTTTTATAGGTAGCCATGCTTCAGGTAGTCACAGATGATCCCTGTAGCTCAGGGTATGCTACAGGCAGACCTGTGGGTCAGGTCAGTGAAGGTAGCTTCTGAGATCACCATTCAGCTCAAGACCTTTTCATCTTCCAGAGAATGATTCTCTCTTATGAGGTTAGAGAGTGCTTCATGGATCACACCACGTAAGACTAGGATACAGAATGGCCCGCAAATCTGCAGCCAGCATGCTACAGTGTGTGAGGACCTGGGATCCTACCAGAGGCTTGCCGCTTCTTTTCTCTTGTAATTGCCAACTTGACATGGAAACCCTCAGGAGCAGAAGCAGATTCACACCGGCTTAGATGAGGTATGGGCACCCTCCTATCCAGAATCAAATGAGGCACTCAGTGGAAGACCAGGGGTGCATGGTGCATATAGCAACAGTATAATTTCAAGCTCTTGCTGCTGATTGCCTTGTGGCCTTTGGACAGACAGTCTTCAGGAAAGAGCAGGACACACGCAGATGCCTCTCACTAGACACACAGGCCTACTCACCAAGCTTGTACCACATGTCACGGATGGAGAAGCCAATTAGCCGTCGCATGTCCCCATACCTAGAGGAAACAAGATCGTCTACTTCAACCCCATCTCTGAGCATCTCATGAGCCCCCTCCCTCTTCACGAGGTCCAAGAACACAACTTACTTATTCAGGATTTTGTTGTACTTGGCATGCGAGAACTGCTCCAACTGCAGAGAATCCTGCGTGATAAAAGCCACTGCCAGATGAAAATAGTTGTTCCACAGCTGTAAATGAAGGGAGAGAACAGTCATGGAGAGGCCCGAAGTGGAGAGACACATTAACTGCTGGGTAATGTGAATAATTTATGAAGATGGCAGAAGACAAAAGCAGAACCAGTTTAATTGTGTGAGCTGCAATTTTCTGACTGGCACTGACTCTGGCATTCACATGCTGGCCCAAGTGAGGCCAATGGGTGGATTTCTACAGGTGCTGACCTATGACAACGGGGTTTAGGTGATGATGGGGGTGGTGGGTTAGGGTTGGACTTTTCATTGTTGCTTTATGCTTTGTTTTCTTTTGTGAAAGATAACTTGCCTTAACTGGGAGCCTGGTGAGCTGGCTTCTGCCCTGAAATTAGAGGTCCATGAAGGAGAAGGGATTTGCAGGGACCAGTAGCTTCTCTGGAGACCCTCCCTAAATCACCTGCCAGTATAGGGCGCCAGCCTGCAGCACCTTCTCTCTTAGAACATATTGCTGTTTCCTTTCCCTTTGTTTGGTGGTTTCAAAGAGTGTTTCCCAGCTGGAGGCAGCAGCAGCAGCACCTGGGAACTTGTTAGAAATGCAAATGCCCTGGCCTCTGCCCAGACCTGCTGAATCATAGCCTGTGTGGGTGAGGCCCAGAAATATGTCTGAGAATAAGTATACAGGGTAATTCGGACACTTGTTTAGTTAGAACTCCTGCAGGCTCGGATTCTATGTAGACTTGTCATAATTTTCACACATAGATGATCAGTTGACATACAGCATGGACTCTATAATAGAATACTGGAGCCCACTCCCCCAGCTAAAGGTAAAATAGAGCAGGTAAAAGATTCATTACATGGTGAGTGTTCAAAACATGAGCCCAGTGATCAGGATATTGACATAAGACACAGGCTGGAGAGATGCACATTCCAGTCAAGATGCTGTTGAGTCTGCAAATCTCCCAACAAAACTGAGGTGACTGTGGTACTCACTGCAGAAGGCTTTAGCGAAGACGATACAAGGTGGAAAGGGCCTGAATTACAATGGAAGCTCAGAAGCACTTCTAGCCTTTTTTAAAAAAAATATTATTTGATGGGTTCCTTTGGTAGCAAAGTAAATAGCAGAGTCTAGCTACTTGGGTGCTTGGGGCTTTGCTGCAAGATGCTATGGGCCTGTAAGGAGCAAGTGGGGACAGCCTTGCTGAACAAAGCTGACCCACTTTTAGGTCCCTTTTAGCGCTGTTTGGCAAAGGTGCAGGGAGAAGAAGCTAGAAAAATCACTGCCATTGAGACTTCCATCTGTAATGCAAAGAAGTTCATTCCAGGTTGCTGATGTCCAAGAATCAGAGCAGGCAGCTCCACCACTGAGACCATCACTGCCATGCGGAGTACTCACACGCACTGTGCTTCCAGATTCAGAATGCAGCGAGTCAAGGAGCCCATGATTACCACAGGCCAGGACTCCCTTATTTCAGAGATGCAAACATGAAGGACCAGATAAGGTAAATGACCACCGAAGGTCTTTTTCAATTTAGATATAATGAGAATTGAATAATTTTAAATTAATGTTCAAAAATTATAAAAGTATGCCCATAGTTAAAAGATTTAGATGACAGAAAAGATTAGATAATAAAAAGTTATTTTCCATCCTAATTCCATTTTGAACTCTGCCTAATTCTTCAGAATAGCATGTTGACAATTTCTTGGGGATCTTTTCACCATTTTTTCTTAACGCACAAACATATAGGTGTACATCATTTCTAAATAACCCCCTGGTATACTTCACTTTTTTTCTTAAAAGTATACCCTACATTCATTTCTCTATTAGTAACTACAGATCTGCTTTTTCCTCCTTTATTGCTGTAAAATATTCTGTTATAAGGATGTACTTTAATTTTAACTAGCACCCTATTCATACACACTTAACATGCTTCCAACTCTTTCCTCCAGCAACAGCACTGCAATCAACATGCTGCTGAAATAGCTTAATGCATGAGAAAGTGGATCTGTGGTATGCAGTCCTCCGGTTGTTACTGCAAACTCATAGTCTAGGAAGGTTCACAGAGTCTAGGAAGGTTTTGCTGCTGCTGTTTTCTTGGTTGTTTGTTTTCAGACTGTCTGAACACCTGCCTTAGTTCTAATCCCATTACCAGCTCAATTACTGTGAGCATATTACTCAACCTCTTAGACTCTCAGTCTTTTTAATCTGAAAAATGAAGATAATTGTACCTAAAAGGTGTACTGTAAAGGAGAAATCCTGACTACAAATTCCTACTCAATCTCACTATATCAGTTCAAACAGTCCAAGCCCTTCCCACTCACCCATTCTGCCATAGATCTGCCCACCAGTCACACTCATGTACTTTCTTTATAGCACTTATAATATTTTTAAACAAACCGATTTATCCTCTGTCTCTTCTACTGGATGTAAGCATTATACAGGCAACAAAATCTTTCTCTTGTTCACTATTTTATATACCATGTCTGGCTTCACGTCTGACTTGGCACGTATTCCAGAAATATTTATTGAATGAGTTCATTAATGAACCAAGTACTCTGTGTGCTTTCTCATTAGGTCTACTGAAGAAATTTGTATTCTTCTTCTCATTTCAGATTTCAGAAAGTTGACACTCACAGAGATCAACTAACTTGCTTAAAATAGTAAAGGTAGCACTTGAATCCAAGTTTGTCTTACTCTGGGACTTTCCTTAAAATGTTTTGTATGTAGTTGACAATAATTACACAAATTTATATGGTCAAGTATGGAGTCTCAACATATGTATACCTTGCGTGATGACCAACACAGGACAATTCACATTATCTATCATCATAAATATTTATCAACTCTTCATGGTAAAACAAGCCCTTTCCTCTAGCTACTTTTTTTCCTTTGCAGTACTGGGGATTGAGCTCAGGACCCTGTGTTTGCCAGGCAGATGCTTACTCTACTGAGCTATCTCCCCAGCCCTCCTCCAGCTTCTCTGAATTCATATAATTATTGGGGACTAGAGTCTCTGCTGTGCAACTGGATGCCAGAAAATACTTCTCCTAAGTCACTGTAATTTTGTACCTGCTGACCAGTCTCTTCCCATCACCCCGTTCTCTCAACTTCCACAACCTCTGGTGATTATCATTCTACTCTTCCACAAAATTGATGCTTTTAGTTTCTGCATGTAAATGAGTTCATAAGGGATTTGTCTTCTCTGCATGTGGCTTATTTGACTTAATATAACATCATCCAGGACTATCCATGTCATCATAAAATATAGGAGTTCATCTTTTTGTGGCTGAATCATATTCCATTGTGAATAAATTTCCCACTGTCTCTACTCATGCATCTGGCGTGGACACTTAGATTGATCCATATTTTCACCATTGTGAATAGTGTCGTAATCGATACGAGGGTGTAGGTATCTCTTTGATATGCTAAGTTCGTTTCCTCTGAGTGCATGTCTAGTAGTGAGACTGAAGGGTCATAGGGTCATTTTAGCTTTCAGTTTTTGAGAAGCCTCCATAATATTTTCCATAATGGCCACACTGACTTGCATTCCCACCAACAGTGAGCAAGGGTTTGCATTTCTGTATACCCTTTCCAGTGCTTGTCCTTTGGATGACAGCCACACTAACTGGAGAGATGTGAGAGCTCGCTGCGGTTTTGATTTGCATTTCCTGCTGATTGCTGTTGTTGAGCATTTTTTTTGTGTGTGTGTGTTTTGGAGCACTGTCTTCTCCTATACAATGTCTATCTGGGTTTGCTTTGTTTGGCTGTTGAGTTGCGTTCCATACATATCGTAGAGTTCAGCCCCTTATCAGCTCTATGGTGGACAAATACTTTCCCCCGTTCTGTAGGTTGTTTCTGTCTTCCTTTTTTTTTTTTTTGTGCAGAGATTTTTAATTTAGTGTAATCTCATTTTTCTATCTTTACTTTTGTCACCTGTGCTTTTGGGGTCTTGTCTAAAACTCCTTGCCTAGACTAATGTCACAAAGCATTTCTCTACATTTTGGTCTAGTAGCTTCACAGGTTCTTCACTAGGACTTGCCTTCTTAAACACCCTGCTCTTTTGCTAAAATTGCTTCTCTTCTCCCGTCTTGGTTCCTTTTAGCCTTGGCTGTTGGCTAAGTTTCCAGTGGTTCATCTTACATTTAAGAGTCTTCAAAGTAGAGAAAGCAAGGGTTTAAATTCCTCAAAATTCCCTTTCAATGGATTTTAATTATTATTTCTTCCAAAATCCAGTTAACAAAAAGACCTGGCACACAGTGTACCTTAAATGGTGCTACGTCAGCCCCTCTGTAGTACAGGGTCCAAGTGCATGCCTGTTCTGGGGTGCTGTTGAGCCTGGGGGTGGGAGGCTCCAGGTGTGCACTTGGGTGAGGACCATCAGTCCAGAGGCAGTCTGGGGTCTCACAGCTGCTGCATGTAGGGCTGGGGGAATGGTCTAGGCACAAGGGCATCTTTCTGACTGGTGCAGGCATCCCGACATGAGTCTTTACCATGTGTCTGCTGTGGCAAGATGGACTTCTTGAAGGCTTTGATCACTGACCCTTCTCCAGATGTTTCTTTCTCACTGATTTTTTTCTTTTCTTTGTGGTACTGGTGATTGAAACTTAGGTCTCTGTGTTGAGCTACCTATGCAGTACCCCAACCTGAGTACTTTTTAAAACTTTGAGACCAGATCTTGATAATTATTTTGCTATCACTAGCTTACATTTTCATTTTAAATACCAATCTTCTCCTCCTTCTTCAGTAATGGCTGAGAATATTCTGGAAACTTTTCATAGGCTGTCTAGTACAGGTCCAAATATAGTCCTTAATTGGGCTGGTGCCCAGAAACTTATACCAAGATGTCTCCAGGCCTGCTTAGAATGACCATGCCCACAAAGCAGTAGAGAAATGGATCTCAGGACCAATCAGAGGGCTTCCTACAAAAACATATTTCCTGAGCCTCAGTGTATCCCCTCATCCCACCCTGTCATAGTCTTTCAGAAAACTTGATCCTGTAGTCAATCACCTCAGCACTTTGTATTCCAGGGCTAGTGAAAACTAGCAAGGGCAGAAAGATTTCCTGGATCTCAACAGAGGCAACTTTCAGAGTCCAAAGGCACCTTTTGTAAGCACCAGAAAAGTGGAGGGAGCTGTGGAGACAGTACTATGCAGACAGTGCTGGGGCTCTGTTCCAGAGGCCCAATAGCAGTCGGAAAAGTCAAAAGATTCCTGGGAAATTCGGTTTATTCATCAGTGAAGTGGCAGCATCCCTACCCATTAGGATTATGATAAGCATCAAAATGTCCTAATCAGACACCTAGCAAAGGTTAACTACTTTCTTCAAAATCTTGGGTAACAGAAGATGGATTTCTATCATCTTTTCTCAAGAGTCCAAGATCCTTGGGAGTAGGGCAGTTGCTTAGTCCATTTTGTGTGGCTATAGCAGAATATTACAGCTAGGTAGTTGTTAAGGTTTGTGTCAAGATGTGCCCCCAAACCTCCTGCAGTCATGGTGTGAGCATCTAGAGTTTGTGATTGACTCATGGTCCAATGTTGGGATTATAGGTGTGAGTGCTGCACTCATCCTCAGCAGGTAGTTTGCATACAATATAAGGGACAGAGTCTTTTCTCTCCTCCCTTTTCACTCCTGCTGTCTTCTGCCTCTACAAACTGCCATCTTTCTGCCATGCCACGCTGCCTTGGAGCCAGCTGATTATGGACTGAAACCTCACCACAAACTGTGAGCTAAAATATCCTTTCTTTCCTTAGTTTGGGTCATCAGGTATTTTGTCCTTGTAAAGAGAGAAAAGTAACTAAGACAGTGGTTTATAAGGAAGAGATGTTGTTTTCAGTTCTGGAGGCTGGGAAGCCCATGACAAAGAGCTGGCACTAGCCCTCCAGCCCCAGAGCTCTCATACCCTAACCACCTCTTCACTTCCCAGTACAGTTGCATACTGCATGTGAACTTTGGAGGACACACTCAAACCCTAGCTGGACTGCTTTGCTTTATTTCCAGATTCTTCAAAACATGTTGCAATAGCCTGTATTAGCCCTCAGCAAAGCTCCTGCTGAGTTGGATTCTAAATCTTTTCTTGGTCTCCTCTGGCCATGCAAATGAATGTGAACGCTAAGCCCTAGTACCCCGAATAGGATCCAGAAATGTCAATGATCTTAGCTCCCAGCAGAAGACACCATTTGTGTTGCTCTCAGATCTTCTCACCCTCACGGCAGCACTCACAGAGCTTTCTGCTTTCTGCCCTTTGACTCATAAACCACAGTTCTAGAAAAGATATCAGGGATAGTCTCCTGTGCCTGCCTTCGCTGGACAGCCGCTGCCGAGGCCAGTATCACTGGGTGATGGATGCTGTTCCTGCTGATGTTAAATGCATAATGAATGAAACCATATGAAGGAGACAAGGCATGTTCCAGGCAGGGTACAGAGAGCAAATCCATTCTCACACAGGGTAGGAAGAAGTAAGAGAATAAAGATAAGGCTGAAAAATGACCCTGCTCTTGGGGACTTTTCACTATCTATGGAAGCCTGATTAGAAAAACACTTTATTTGATGTTGATCATGTCCTTATTTTGTAGAAGCTAGTGGGTATGACAGCTCCAGGTAATGTGATCACCAGAAAAATCATCTATACTGTTCTGTTTATCAAGGACTGGCATGAGTCCCCAGCCCAGGCACACCTGGGGCAAGCATCATGGCTGTTGTTATTGTCAAAATAATAATTACTATAATGAGCTCTTATCTATTACTATGTTCCCAGCAATGTTCTATGCCCTTTACATGAAACATTTTAATTAATCATCACAACCACCCAATGAGATAGCTTCTAGTAGCACCTTTCATTTAATGATGAAGAACTGAAGCACAGAGAGGAAAAGTAATTTGCCTAAAGTCACACAGCTGATAACCTCAGACTTTGTGTCTATAGATCTTTCATTCTTTGGGCATCTCTCAGATACATATTTTCTTACAGGAAAATGTCATAAAACATACAAGAATGTCACAAAGGACTGAGACTGACTTCCCTTGGAAAGTACCTCCTGAGACCATGGAGGAGAGCCACATCAGGGAAGCTGGTTTGAGTCAATAATTGCCAACGCCCACATAAAGAGATAAATGAACAAGCTGGCCTTTTGATGGCCCAATCACTGGCTCTTCCGGCCATAGGCATCTTGTTTCAAACTGTCCCTCCAAAAACACCATGGCTTTATCTACTTCTTTGAATATACCCATCACCAGAGCCTGTAGGTGATGGGGAAGGGAATCAAACATTTCTACTAATTCAAAACAGCCATTGTGACATGTTTTGTGCCCCTGACAGAAATGTATCATGCCAGTAGATACTCTCACCCAGACCTGGCCAGGAGGTCAACCCAAGGCGATAGTGACACTGTACCTGGCATGTGGCTATGGATGACTGACTTCTAGTCTCAATTGGGCTGGTGTGCTATGTGACTTTGGGCTGCCCGTTTACTGCCTCTGAATTTTATTCCTGCATCCTCAAAGGGGACAAACTATTAATCATGCTGGCTAACTTACAAGGTAGGTGGAAGTATTAAAAAATATGATGACCTTAGAGTGCCTCTCATGAGACGTGGCAAGTAGGATCCGTCAGCAGTTGGTAGCTACTATTTTCACTAGTTATCAATAGCTGGTTTGAATGAGAAATAGTGGGAGGGAATTTCTTCAGAGAAAACATTTCATCCCTACAAAGCCTTATAAGCTGCTATCCTCAGTAGGATAGATGCTGTAGGTTTCAGCCCAGACGTTAGCTCCTCACGGAGACATACGGTGTGCCAGGCACAGAGTAGAGGGTAGCTTGAGTATGAGGTCTTTGCTCTCATTATGCTCATGAAAGAAACAAGACATGTAGATGAATATGTAAACAAGATGATTTCAAATGACAAGGAGAGCCATGGAAAGACTCCCACAGGCCCAGTGCTGATGAGCAAGCAATGACTATGGCATAGGTGGAGAGTCCTCTGGGAGGAGTCAGGCAAGAGAGGTCTCCTTCAGGATGAAGATTCAGAAAGGAAACGGGAGGGAATGTCTTATGAATTTCTTCAGCAAGCTGGATGACACACCCAAGGCTGGAAAACTCTACTGAAGTAGAAAATGCAGTTGACAGCATGTTACAGATGTAGCACCTGAGTATGGATGTTGTCCATGCCTGGCCTGCAAAGTCTTAGTTGGGGCAAGCCACAGTCCAGACATCAGGATACCTCCAAGGAATGAGCAGAAAAGGCCATTCACAAGTCTGTAGTACCAGACTTGGGCTGCTTCAGTCCTCTGTGAAAGAGACCCAGGAGGACCGAGGGCCTTTCCCTGGTCCTCTCTCTCATACCCCCAGCCACAGGCAGCCATGTAGAATATTCCCACCAGTCTTTGAAATACTGGTTCTTCATGGGTCGGGATCTGCACTGGGTGTGTCACTGTCCTAGGGACCTATTTTTAGGTGCCTGAAAATCTCAAAAGCTCCAAGGTGTTTGATCACAAAAATGACTTTGGGAAGAATTGGAAACCACAAAAGATGTACTGTGAGATTTACTGTAAATTGTGTTTTGTGCTGCAGTGAAAACTGAGAAAATAGGATGCATTTTTGAAAGGTGGTACATGCTCTAATGAAAATAAATGAACACAAGACCAGTAGGCAGTCACATTTGCATATGAAGCTCAGTTGGTGACTGGTTAATCAGGGCCTTTGTTTCAGGGCCTGAGAACTTCCCTCCCCACCATCCTCTCTATGGACATTGCAGAGACACTGGCATGTTGCTATGTCTTATGAGATGTATGTGATGGAGCAGTAAGCTTCAAGTTGCCATAACAACCCCCAACTGCTTCCAAGGGCAACCCTGGCACCTCAGACTCACCTGGAACTCAAAGTTCGTATGTTCCAGAAACTTCTGGTTCATGGTTTCTGCAAACTTGTTGATAGCTCTCAGGAAGACTCTGAAAGAGAGAAGAAAGTCACTAGAACCCCAGAGCCCTCCCCTTACTCTCTCTCTCAGGGAGAAGTTTACAGACCACCCACTGATGTGCAGCCCACGATCAATTCAGAACAACATCTAATCCCACTCAAGACCTGGAGTCACGTTTACCTTGCGAGAACTCGACAACTGTCAAAACTTTTGAAAATCTGTCTGGTCTTATGTTTAAGATAGTAGAAGTTTATGACAGAAGTTCATTCCATCCACAAAAGGTAGGAAAAGATATCACCTCCCTAAAACATAGTCTATCAGATCCTATCATCCAGAGAAAGCCATCACTCCCCCCACAAAAATAACTAAAACTAAAATACAAACCAAAAAAACCCCAGATATTCCACTATCCTCTTGAGAAAGCTGTCACCAACACTTTGATGAATATAATGTCAAAGTTCTCCCTAGACATATACACGAGTGATATTCTAAGGAAGCTAAGGATAACATTTTGATAAATTGCATTACACAATAAATGCTGTTTCACAGCCTGTCTTTTTTACTCAACAAGAAATTGTGGGCTCCTTTTATGCCAGTGAATGCAGATATACATCATCCTTTTTAATCACTGAAGAGCATTCTGCTGTACGGATATATCAGTTTATTTAATCACTTTTTTATTGATGGACCTTTTGGTGATCTCTTGGCTTTTTTATTATAAACAATATTCCACTGATGATTCTTCTATGTATGCCTTGTACCTTCTCTATGCAACTCTCCTCCACTCTTCTGTGTCACATCACTGGTCAAATGTCATCCACATTTAACATTTTGGTACCTGTTGCCAAGTGACCTTTGTCCTTAAATGTCCCGCTGGTTATCTAGTCCACCTCTTGGCCGCTGCCAAGCTTGGCTGACTGCTCTGACTGACATGCTTCTCTTGCTCTGTCATACTCTAGCGCTGTGTTCTCACTGTGGCTAACACTGGCTTCCACAGCTCCCCACATCCACAGGACAAGTCACTGCTTGTACCTTTCCCTTCCTTCTCATGCTTGGCCTCACTCTTACCCTGCGCTCTGCTTGCTGAGTGCTTGACCATGTTCCTTCTTTCAGTAAAAGGAGACACTGTTTCTGACTCCTTACAGTCAAAATTCTGCCTTGCCCCTATGGTCTAGATCAAAAGCCCTCTCCTTCCTGTGGCCTTCTACTGTCTTCCTGGCTGTAGTCACCACCTCGCAGTGTCCACTCTCTTCTTGTCACCACACTTCATATTCTAGCTATCTCTCTGCAGTTGAAACTCCTCTTTTAGACTATGAGCTTCTTTAGGGCAGGGCCTGCTGCATCCTGTCTCCCGAAGGGCTCTCATTGTCCTGCCATTTGCCAGCATTCATCATGGTGTATGATGACTTATTTGGATGACTCACTGAAGTCTGTCTCCTCCATTGTGCTGTGCTACGCAGAGATCAGATTCCCTCATGTGATGTACTCACTGATTCACATGGATTTGACATCCAAAGGTTTATCCCCTTCCTTGGCAACTCCCTGAGGATCCATTTGACGCCAGTTCTCTGCTCTATATCCTTGCTTGGATCACTAATGGGCTTCTGAAATTTACATGCTGAAAAAAAAAACCCCAACCCCTGCTCTTTCCAGTCTCACACACCTCCTTCTGTAGTTTTCCTAATTCAGTGAGGGACAATTCCCCTCTACCAAGTGTTCAGAGAGAGAGTAAAAGCATCTAATTTAGGTGCTTTTACTCAACTTCCATCTTTGTCTCCTATGCTATGTGTAGCCTGTTGGCACATCCTCTTAGCACTGCTCTCTGAATATACCCAGAATGCAACTATTTCCTATCGCCCCACCCCACAGTGACTGGCCTGTATCAGGCCACTCTCATTCATATCTTGGAGTTCTGTAGGTGTCTCCCAGCTACAACGAACAGCGGTCAAGTCTCACTTTTATATCTATATTGATACGATTTTAGAGCACAGGAAGACATCGCACCCATATTAGTGTTTATTACCTTTCACAAGCAGTAGCCACATAATAACTATCTGTCCCTAGAATGGCTGCTCCAGGGAAAATGCCGATCTGGCCAACTTGGGTCACCATAGGAAGATAATAAAGGATGTGCTGCTGAGTGGATTACAGCTGTGGGTAATAATCAGGACTCAGTGCTGCTTGGAAGCCTTTAACAAATGTTATGCAACACATTTGCACACAGAAATGTCCTCTCCTAGGGAGCAAAAAAGCAGGCATACTTCTACCATTAACATCAGCACCTCCGTGGCAAGAATTCTCTCCTAGGGCATTAATCCTTGGCACTGTTGGTCTGCCTTCAAAATGGGCTGAGCATTCTTCTTCCAGAGAAATCCCAGGGAGAGAAAGAAGGAAGAAACTATAGGGAATGCCCCAAAGCTTTCGGCATATTTTGCACGAGCCATATATGCAAACAGAACCTATAGCATTCACTATATGGATATTGCTGGTCAAGAATGCTGGGCCAGGTGTCCATTAAACATTCACATAATTTGTTGTGTGAAAAGATGGTGTGTACTGGTGTCAGTGTCCAGATTGCAAAATTTGCCACCCCAAACACACACATACATACAACGCTTTGGGGGTGCTACTTTCTGAAGTCTCAGGAAGCAACCATGGTAGAGTTAGCAGAGGTCATGAGAGTGCCCACGGTTGCAGCAAAGCTCTGGGTACTCGAGCCCCCTCCCTCCCTCGGGTTGCTCTGTTCTTTTCTTTTCAAAGGCAAAGAACAACAGCAAAATGGACAGGCAGAAGACTAGCAGTTTGGAAATGTGTTTGAGGCAGGCAAGGTGGGGAGAAACAGAGACAGAAGCCCCCCAAAATCCACCACCCCATCAGGCCATCAAAAAGTGAGGTTCCTTCTATTTTACTTTTAGTTTTCATTTGCTAATATGCCTTTGAAACAAGGCCTACTAGACATCCATATTTCCTCCTTATAGATTAGTTCTCTGATTCCCGAGATGGAAATCCACCGAGTGACTGTCATGCTTTGTACAAACATCTCAGGAGCTGGAGTGTGAGGCCACCACGAGGGCCTTTACACATTCTCAGCAGCAACAGAGCCACCCAGAGATCCGGTAACCATCGCTGGGCTGATCCCCAGCCTTGCCCTGGCTCTGGCTCTGGCGGCTAATGTTGATCCACCTTGTGCCAGTAGGTATCAACAGCAGGAAGAGGAAAGGGAGAAAGTCGGGTTTGGTGCCCTGTTTGGATTTGTAAAACACGGCTTTTTTTTCATTTTCTTTTTTTCCTTCTTTGTCTCCTTCTCCTTTAAACAACCGTTCTTAAAAGCCTAAGCACTAATATGGTGGAGTGGTTTAGAAAAAAAAAAAAAAAACCCTGATCTCTCTCACTCCTCTGAACAACAAAGTACAATTGTTAAAAACAAAGTGTGTGACCAATTCCCAACCTAATGCTTAGCAGACTGTGTAAGAGTAATGATAATTACAGTCAGATTCTCAATGTATGCCAGGTTCTCTATTAAGCAAATGTTTTCCTTCTTCTCCCTGCCTCCCTTGCTTCCTTTTGCTGTCTTTCTCTCCTTTATTGTCTGCTATAATCTTACAAAGCTCTCTGAGATCAATGTTTTGCCATCTTAGAGACATGAGTTTAGGTAGTGTTTCCAATAACCCAGTCAGTACCTGTAGAATCAGGATTTAAACAAAGGGACACTATCTGTAGAATGTCGGTATTTAACTACTCTGCCAGTCTATCCAGAGAAAATCTTTTGAGATTCTGTTCAATGTCAGCTATGAGCTCACGTTATTAATAATAATGAAGATGGCAATATTAGTAATTTTTGTGTAACTATACCACTGCCGAGGTATAGTTAAATAATGTACTCCACAGACATTATTCTAATTAATTCCATATTCTGAGGTGGCTGCTATTGTTATACCCATTTAACAGAAGAAAAGAACGACTCTTGGAAAGATCAAATAATTGCTCCTCATACACATGGCGAAGAAGCAGCAGGGTCCAGGCTCATCCTAACTTGGCATTTCTCTAAAGCCTGAGCAGTGCATCAGAAAAGCATATTGGCTCCTTTGAAGTACTGGAATTCTCTTTCTTCTTTCACCATGCGGGTGCCCCACTGTGCCTGTGTTATGCTGCCACACTGCCCACAGCTGGTTGGCTGCAGGGCCAACACCTGGCACACAGACTCCATCCTGGGCTGACTGCAGTCTGTGTGTGGGGTGTCTAACAGGTAGCTCTACCCACTGGGGGCACCTGAGCCAGCACAAGAGTAGACAGAATCTAGGGAGGACACAATGGGCCAGAGCCCTGAGTGGAAGCCAGGAAGAGTCATGAGGAACCAGACGCCATATGCAACAGAGAAAAGAAACAGAAGTCAACTACTGTGAGCAGAAAGAAGCTGAGAGAAAGAAGAGCCAAACTCAGTGCTGATTTTGGGAAAGCAGCTCCATGTGAGGCTTCGCTGTGGCCCCAGTGTTTGCCTTGCCTTATGTGGCAGAACATATCTGAGTTATGAGAAGCAGCTGAGATCCCCCATAGCTCCCCTTCTGAGTGAGTCTATGAGCCACACCCACCAGCCCTCGGACTGAATCCTGGCCCCAGTCAGTTCCTGTCTGCCGGTCTGAGCCATGATTTCGACCTCTGTGGACATCAATTGCATCATCTGTGAGATGAGCCATGTGTGAAAGCTGAATGAAATAGAGCATATGCAGCAGGTAGCCCAGTGCCTCCATGCACAGGAGTCCTGAATCAAACTCTGCTGTTGGTCTCTTAATTCTTAACTTACGATCACCTCACAGCCTGGGACCTGGAATATATGTGGTAGAACATAATGCCAATTCAGCACAACAGCACAGCACTGACCCATGCCCAGGACTGGATGATGTGAATTCAAGATGGAGCAGGAAGTAGGCATGCCCTTGGGAGGAGATGCATGAAAAGGGAAAGGGAAGGCCTCCTCAATCCCTCTCCCCTATGGTGCACGGGATCCAGTTGGATCTATTGGTCTAGACTCAA